AAGTGCATGGACAGCATCCCTTATCCATCCTGATGCTGCAGCATCATCTTCCTGGCAAAGCTGCTAATTGGACATCCCTTTAAGGCTCTGCTCTGAAGTCCATGGACCTCTCACAGGTGAGCCAACAGCTGGATGTCCCAGACATTTCCATTCTCCTTGCATTCTTGACCCTCTAAAGGTTACTTTCTTTGAATCAGTCACCTTGGAGGTCTGAAAAGTGATCTGTAAATTAACCCCTTCCTTTCTGTAATTGTAGAAAATTGTACAAATATCTTACAATGCCATGTGCTTCATATGCCTCCCTAGGGGGTATTTAATAGCCTGTTCTGGATGCTGATCCTTTTCCTAGCTTGTTAATTTGGCATTTTATTAAGATTTCAGAACACAAAAGATCATTTACCACCCCTGTAATTTTTTTTATCATGTGAATTGTATTGCACCCATCTTGAGATATCTTTCTCTATACCCTTGACTCTATTGGAACAATACTTTATCAGCTGAATCTTGTTCTGCTTTTTTTTTTTTTTTAAATCTTTTCTTATAATTTACCTTTTAATTTATGGTGGATTATGCGTCTTTATCCTTATTTACATTGTTAACACAACAGATTGAATACATATATAATATATAGAAAAGATTTCTCAAAGACGTTTAAGATGGTAATTTATTTAATGATTTGCTGTGCAGTAAATAGTGTGGATTTAAAACAGCAATTTATGTTACTGGGGGAAAAAATATTGTAGATGCACGATTTTGACAGCTGAGTTGACAGTTTTATTTGCCTCTTAATACTGTGACAAGTCCATGTATGTTTTGAGAAGTAGGCAGATTAGCAGAGATAGGCTTGGCTAAGACTCGATTCTAGTTCACTGAATAAGGAAGAACATGTTTAGATTAGGCTCTGGTGCGTATAGATGCATCATCATGTCATCAACGTGATCCAAATAGGAGGCGTTTTAACCCTGTGGGTGCCAGGGCAGGTACACCGCTGGTGCCTTTTATTGCATAGCCTAGAGAGGGATGCTGGTGAAGTAGGAAGAGTTGATCTGGGCGTGCCGTAGGAAGACATTGGAGAAGATTTGCTCATGTGGTCGCAGCCCCACTGTCTGGACTAAACGTCTGCTGACTGTAAAAAAAAAAAAAAATGTAAGAAGACAAGGAGGCTGACTTTCAGCCAGCATAGCTCAGCCACTGGTACCTGCAAAGGATACAGGCAGCCCACATGTCATCTTAGGCACAGCATGTGTAGAGCCTGTGGGCAATGAACTGCAGGCAAAATGGGCTACATACCTAGAGGCAAATGGAAAGTACAACTGGTTTAATTTCTCTTGTAGATGTGTGCCCTGCATACTTTTTTGGCAGTTAAAACAATTCCTGACATAAAACAATAGTTTGGATTTTTTTTATAAGCTTCATTGTGGAACATATTTGTGCGTTTGTATATGTATATATATATATATATACATATATATATATATATATATATATATCAATCATAGATAACTAGTTGTTTTCTCATTGTACAATGCAGCATGTTAGCAGTTATCAGAATTAACAAGTTTATGCATATTATGTAATTGGTGATCTAGCTGTATTTTGTAAATGACAACTATTCCACAGATTCTAGTCTAATCCAAAATGTTTTATAAATATATTTCTAATTCATTCTGCTGTACAATGGCTCCATGTGTCATTCAGTGCCTGCCTCAATAATATGTTATATTAAGTGCATATTGCAGTTACCAATAATGTTAATATCAGTAATTCCCTTTTATATCTCCGAATATCAACCAAGTGTACGTGTGGTACAAGACTTGGTTAGTACGCAACCAAAATTGGTTGTGGGCCTAATTACCTAGATATTTATCAGTGTTGCTTGTAATAGGAAATTATTTCAAAGAGATTTGCTGGAATAATTTCAGTTTTATACACAAGCATTTTATTAAATACAAGCATGCCTATGACTGTAGCATCCAACAGATATTTTTTTATTTTACTTGAGTTGGTGCAGTGTTGATGAATTGCAAATGCTTCTGTTATGCCTTTTACGACTTCTTCGGTGTGTATCAGCACTTCAATAAATAGCATTTTTTTATCTTCAGTACCATGAATTTATGTACTCTTGTACAGTAATGTCATCTAGAGAATGTTCTAGAATGACACGTACTCGTGTATATGCTAATGAGTATGCGCAGAGAGTTGTACATCAGAATATTCCAGAACAGGCAAATTAATGCAGAGAATAAACAATGGCTATATAATAATGACTACTTAGTCAGATAATTTTGATAACACACTTTTCCAAATGATATTCAAATTTCTAATAATTATAAAATGCTTATTTTCACTAAGAAGAAAGTGTGAGAGCTTTAGACTGCATTAACATCAAGTAATGGTGTTATTTAAAAACCTTTAAAACCTTTGAGTTGCCTGCTGGATTGATAACATGTAGAATGCATAAAGTCCAGATTTCTAAAGAGCCCAATATGGCTGCCATAAGTCTACCTCAAAATGGAAGATCACAAAGTTCAATGCATGACATAGCAAATAAACAAAACGATATAATTCCATTAAGAATTTATAATGTACATGTCAATTTAATAGCGTCTATTCAGCAGTCAAAAAAATAAATAAAACTAGTACATTTTATTTCTGGTTTTGAAATTGTAAAGAATGAAAACCTAGTTATTTGTTTTCTTAATTCTTTTTCAGAGGGTCCACGCCCATATAAAAAATATAAGCCACTCCCAAACATTAAACCATGTGTGAGCAATACCAGCTAAGATCATTTTAAAGCTACAATTGAATTTCATTTATATTCAATTCACAAAATGACATGAAAAACCATCGCTATGTTGCCATTATTGGTCATTTTATTTCTTTTTTTTTTTTTGTCCTCATGTATTCTTGTTCAAACATTTCCACTGCCTTACACGTTTATTTTGTTATGTATATACTAAGCTATACGTATAGTAACTGATATGTTTATGCTCATACAATCTATTTTTATTTTATTGCCTTTAGCTTCAAAAATTGATACAAAAGATATGAATCGCTATATAAATAGCAGGAAGTGGTCCAAGTGATCAAGTACGATTATGAGGCCTACTCTTTTGCATCCTACTACTTATGGTTGGCATTAGGAATGAGATATACGACCCACCTCAAATAGGCATCATTTATAAAATGATGTGAATATTAGTAGTTTTAGTACATATGTGTGAAATAAAACCTGTGTTTTAGCAAGACTTTTGGCTATCTACATTGCAAAGCTCTTCTCTGGAATGCAATAATTGGCGTGCAATTTGATTGAAACTTAGAAAAACCAAGTTACATAAACCGTAACAATGTTTTTCAATATACATGTTTATAGATTTGATATTACTCCTTAATTGAGCAGTGATATAGTTTGCGCATTCATAATAACATTTTAGAAAATAACTTGGTAAAATCCATTATTCCTGACATATGTGATATTTTTAATAGACTACTAGCTGCCATTAATTATTGTAAGGAGTACCTTAACCCTATGAGTGCCGCGGGTAACGTAATTGAGTGTAACTTGCTGTACTTCTAAATTTTTTTGCTTAGAAGCAGACTCTTCTAACAAAAGATCCAATTTATTACAGTTTGACTCGTGTAGGGACGGGGTATCTTAAAAAAAAACCATGCAAGTAAATCCTCTTTGGTTTTTCTTGTCAAATTAAGCCGAGAGTTCTTGAATAGACGTGCACAGTAGCCCTAGACCAATTAGACACAGAAGAATGGTACTCTTATCCACTCAAACATTACTTTCTTATTGTAAAGGATTTCTAATAGGTTAGCTGAAACACGTTGAACATGGTATTAAGGCTTATGGAAAGCATTTAATGTATCAAATACTACTAAACTGCTATACAGTCACATTATCTAACAGTGATATCATGGCAATCATAAGGGATGAGGAATCACCGCTGTTTTACTTACGTGACGCCATTTATAAGCAAGAGCAAGTAAAGAGACATATTGATAACTAGTGAATTTTTTAAATACGTAATTGAAAAAGTTGGATTGCTCCTAACATATAGTCAAAATACTTTTGCTTTCTCTCTCTATCTCTAATTTATTATGCAGAAAACAGTATACAACATTACTTTTCTACTAGATATTATAGAACTTGTAATTATTGTCCCTTTTTTATTTTACTTTTTCCAAAAAGGACATATATATTTTTTTTTTATAAAATTGTGTGATTCCTCTTAAAATGTAAAGAAAGTAAAGCTATCAATAAGCTTTTGCCTTTAAAAATCTACTGCCATGTTTAGCGAATGAATAACTCCCAGCATCCATTCAAAAACACATCAGAATGATAAAATGTTCTGTGTATGGTTTCGGATGTGACTGACGGCAAAATTAAGGCCAAAAAAGCTCATTTGTAAAGGAGAATCTCCTAAATTTTGCAATTCTAATTGTTAATTCTTTACAACTTTATAAACTGTATATTGTGGTAAGGCAATAGCTAATTTGTAATGTATGCTACATACAAATATATTATTTAGGCCACATTGTGGCCTACATTTCAAATGCCAGTCTTTTGCATAAATAGATAGGTAGATAGATAGATAGATATGTAGCTACCTATCTATCTATATAGATGATTTAATACTACCACTGTAGAATTTTGTGAACTACATATCCTTCAGTGCTCCACCAGAATAAGACCTGGCTGAGCGTCACAGGATATAAAGACCACTTATACGTGCACTTCCATGGCTATACTACACTGGTATATACGAGTCTAATTTTTTAGTTTCCAAATTTACACAGGTATCTTTGACAGTTTGTTCAGTAGTTTCAGCTCAGAGTGTAGGACGTCATAACGCTACTGTAGCTGGAAAGAAAATGTTAAATATACATATATAATAGCATCTATTTAACATATGGATTGCTTGAGTGTCTATAATGGACAAAAGAATACTAAAGGCTTCTTCTGCTAATTGTTGGAACGTGATGTAGCACCTGTTTGACAATCAAGAAGTATACTGATGTGGAACATATAAAATTCTAATATATGCATAATTTCAAAAATGCATACATTTGTGTACTTACTTTCTCTGACAGAACCATTGGCGTTACATATACAGTATCTTTTTTTTCTGTGCATGTGAAAATATTTGAATGCATTGATCCACTTACAAATTGTTCTCATTGACAACTAGTTATCTTAAAACGAGATCTGTAAATGGGCTTCTGGGAAAGAGACTTAAAATTCGTATGATATATATCTGCTATCTATTACTACCAAGGTTTTCTAATAGTATTGATTTCTATTTATTACTGTTTTTTTGTTAAAACGAAATATGCAGTTTTAAAATATATTTAATTTGGCAACAAATAGCTGCTTCTCTCAAACATGTTACGTTTAGATTCTGATAGTATATTATTATATTTTATATAATTTAATATTTTTTTACATTAAAATAAAACCATTTTCCTGTATCCTGTGTTCAATACAATAGCAAGTCTATGCAGCCAGCAGGGTGGGGCTCAGTGCAGTATTTAGCTGGATGTCTCTGATAAAATTACAACAGACTAGCATTGCTTTACACTCCTAATGCCAATGAGATTAGGATTTCATTGCTTTGCTATTTAAAAAAAGCCATCTGAGCTGCCTTTAACATGACTTTGCAGGGTGATGAATGCAATTTCTAATCATTATTTTGGCTATGTTCGTCTTAGTAGTGTGGTTCTAGAACACACACAACTGCGAAATACTGCAGATATACCTGCTTTGACATTCCACAGTCTGTCATTTCGTGATCATGAGAAATGTGACAACAAGTAGAAATCATAAAACATGGCGCTGAAAAGACTCTAGGAAAATGGCTTTTAGAAAGCTGATTCACACATTTCAAGGATTCTTTAAAGCAGATGTCGTAGGTGTAAAAAATTTTTTCTTTAATGGCTTTAGATTACATTTCTCTGCCTTAACACGATATTGTCATTTTAAACGCAAATTAATCAAGACTGAAAAAAAACATTTTAAAGCAAAACGAATAAAAGTATATTAACATTTCACATGTCAACTGACAATTCATAGGTATTTTACCGCATGTATAGCTGCACAGTCAGCTTGGTTTTTAGAAATGATGCCTAATGCATGTTTTTATGTTTATAGATTTTACCAATGTAACAGAAATAATTGATTCTTCTCTAAATTTACATTTCTGTATTCCGAGCAGATCATGTACTCCTTATTTGTTAATTCTGTCAATTTAATGACATTTTAGATTCTTTACATGGAAATTCTTTTTTTCTTTTCTGAAAATGAAGAGTAATTAAAATACATTTTATTAGTTTACTATTAATAGAGTATATTTTCAATTCATTTGATTTCTCTAACATATCACTCTTTTAGCAAATTATTTTCTGAAAGAAAAGTTTAAAAAGACCCAAAAACTTGCCATTTTATAGTAGTTTCACTTAAATATTTGGTACTTACGGGAAAATATTTTTTACCTAAACTTTCATATTCAATAAGGCTGAGATGTGTAAAAATGTATTTTGAGCTAACACATTTTACATGTGACAGGTGGAAACGATTGGCAACTAGCTGATATTGTATCAGTTTTTTGAGATTTTCGTTTTTACAAATGAAAATATATGATAGATGGAAAATATTTTTTTTCGGCACATTTTAAATCAGTTTAAACAAATTAAATTAACCATCAATATAATAAGTAAGAATTTATGTTATAAAAGTGATGGAAAAAACTAATTTGTATACTTATTTGTGCACTCTTCTTATGTTTGATTGTTTACGCTTTATTAAATTAAATTAAATTAAATTAAATTAAATGAGTTTATATATACAAATCCTGTGGCCTGTAAATAAATGCTAATGGGACGAATATAAAAAAGTCTAAGTACAACATGATCTCATGTTATGCAACATGTAACTTTTTTCGTTGAAGTATTAAAATTAAATTAAAATAAAGTGTATCAAGTAATATCCAGCCAATACTGCAGCGTTAATGGCAATTATCTTTTTTTTAAAATGATCAGTTATTATAACTAGTATGTTCGTATTTTATGAATACAAATGTATGAAATATGGAAACGCTAAATACGTAGGACATTGCCCTATATTAGTTTATACAGTGCGCATACAACCAAATTAATGTAATTATTCTAATAAAAAGTAAAAATTTAAAAAAGCTACTAAAATGATGAAAATGAAACTTATTTGATGCAGTTTGACAGCATTGCTTAGATATAAAAAAAGAAGAAAGAAAATATAATTTTTTTTTAAATGTCTTAAAATAACAGACAAAGTATTTCTCCGTAACATTTTATTTAAATAAAGCTGTTTGTTAAACACCAAGATAGTTATTTATTGATAAAATCTCCTCAGATAAAGAAGTTATACATCATTAGATGCCTGTATTTATGATTTTGCATCTCGAACATGTATTATACAAGAGCACTAGAAGTGTATGTCAATGAAGAATGCATTTTTACGAACAGACGTCACGCTGTTGTACTTTGTGTAGAGGTATCAGGACAGGGATATTGAAGTGTTGAACAGGGTGTGGCCTGCTTCTCGGAAACAAACCAAGAAAGATGATATTGCCTTTGTTCTACTATCAGGTGACACAGGTACATATAAATACAAAGTAACATTCATATGTTTACCACCAATATTTGTATCCCATTTTATTACCTGCTAAATATCAAAATCACAAGGAACTGAAAAAAAAACACTTCTCAATGATTTTGAATTTAATAATTTGATAAGTTTAGTGTTTATATACCAGGCTTTATCTGTGAGTTTTCTTTAACTCCATCCCTAAATATTTATTTTATTATTATCAATTTTATTTTCATTACTGATAAATTAATAAAAAGGGAATGGGAAAGTTGGTGGTTTGAATTCTATAGGCAAACCAGTGTGCTTGCAAACAATATTATATATTTAATAGTGTATATTAAATAGGCATTTAACTGCATTTTGAACCTAAGTAATTAATGCAAAAGTCTCTTAAGTAGAGCCTTATTTAAAACTCGGAAATATCAGAAAACATGTAACTGGCTTTCCTGTTGTTTGGTACAGTGAGCAGTGACAGCATGAGAGTTAAATGGCATTATTTATGCTGTCTCTCACATAGCGTGCTTCATATACAGTAAAGATATGGCACTGCTGCCTAGTTCTACAGACAGAGGCTGAACAGATGCATGTACGTTCAACAGCACTCCTGCTGTGCACAGTCCTTCACGATGTTAGAGTGAGCCACACTGAATCTAGCAGAGGTTCACTCTACTTCAGCATTTGTGTCACAGAACCGAGCAAAAGCTTCTCTGTACACCTTGTATCTCACAGGACTGACCGCATTAACACCCTGGCCCTGTGCACTGCCAGTTCCACTCACCAACCCTTTGTTTTCCCAAGATGACAAAAAAAAAATCCTTTCAGCTCTCTTACCTCCTGTAGAGAGCTAATTTTCCAGCAGTCAAACTCAATCTGGATAAATAATTTGAAAGAGAGAAAGGCAGAGATGATCACATCGGTGCTGCCTGTAATTTATTTAATGAAGGCAAGCCCCTGTATTTTTTTATTTATTTTTTCTGATAGCTTTGGTATGCATTTATGCACATGTCTGTGTCTATAGAGGTTCACATAGTCGAGCAGCAATGAACAGAAAGAGGTCCAGTGCCGATCTGGGCTTCAGAGATTATTTAGCGTTGAAAGGGTTAATAGCGACTATCGCTATAAGGAAAGAGGAAAATAAAATATTGTATTATTGATGTTCAAAGCAATGTTTGGCGCACACATTTTCTGTACATGGCAGTCCATAGGCATAATCACATAACGCAATGTGATTGGATGAAATCATTACTCGCATATATAAAGCATTATGTTCCAAATTATATCTCAAAGCAAAAAAGAAACTGGAACATAATATAGTATGTAGAATAACTCCCTCCATAACCCAAAGATGCATTATACTGTAGATGTGTATGTATGCAGATATAGCAACATCAATAGCTCTGCCCTTATCACAATGTGCATAAAATGCGTTATACAATACAATATGCATAATATGGAACACAATAGCATTTTAGTGTGTGATGTTGCATTTATGTCTAAACCGTTTGGAAGCAATGGGGCAAATTATATGGTGCAGCATGAAACAACACACCCAACATCCAAATATAAATGCACTGGGTGTGACCATCACGATCCCTCGGGATACTACCAAGAAGATAATCTGTTACAGTATATGGCAGGTCTCTAGGGACTCGTGATTGCGCACCTTACATTATGCAATGAGCCAGCAATGTTTATGACAATACATATATGCAGGGGGAAATCAGAAATCAGGACTTGCTCAGATCTCTGTAAGACACCTAATGTTACATAATGGAGCGCCTATACTAATATTAAGCTTCTTACAGGTTCTTGACATTGTGTGTTGTGTGTGTCTATTTGATAGAGTAATAATAGCTTTAAAATACATAATAAATCTCATCATTTACCTCTGCTCTAAAATATACAATGCACATTTACATTATATATCTATTAAGCATATTTGCATTTAAAAGTGATGGTTTGGTGACATATTTTACACATATATATATATATATATATATAGATACAATTCAATTTTTTTCTTTAAGCAATCTTAATTTGGCTAAGGCTGCTTTACATTGTATGGAAGGGTGGCGCATACATTAGTCTTTGTGCATGTATAATGGCAGCCACACAAGGATATGAAAGGAAACAAAGCACGGGTAGAAAACATTAGCACACAATAGATCTTATCTAAGCTTCAGTCAAGATCTCTGCTCTCCCCACACCTCCCCCTTGTCTGGATGTGTAAGGGTTAAGAGAAAAAAAATCAGTTCGTCACATCCCCAGCAGTACCTGCACAACATCCACATAGGGATCAGATAAAAATAGGTCAGCATCCAGCACGGTGGGTCTTCCAGCACATGGTGCTTGATTGCTCTACACCTCCTGAGTCTCAACGGCCCCTCGGGTTATTCCTGGATTTAAGAATAATAGATATTGTGTGTTTTTTTTTTTAAGAGGATAGGAAGAAGGAAAATAAATACTCAAGAAACCTGAATGTATAGTTCCTTCTCCCTCGCTCGTCTTGAGACGAGATGCAGTCAGTGTAGGCAGACGGGGGATCCATGGTGCTTGCAAGTCACCCAAATGATCGGCTGCAAATATTTATCGTTTTAGCAGACTCCTGCCTTGCTCTTCTTGATTTCCCAGTCGGAGATACAGCTTTTTAACTTCTTATCAGCCTTTTGCATGCTGTTATGCGTGTTACGAGAGCTCCCTCACATTGCTGCATCTTTCAATAAAGAATCTGGCCCAGCAACCCCACCCTTAACAATTTTTTTTTTTTTGCCTTTCTTCAATATCCTATATGTTCAGAGGCGTATTAAATGGTAAGGAGCCATTGTCTGCCTCTTTGCTTTAATGCAGATATTTACTGCTTTACATTGATCTCTTGGTGGCTGGCAAATCTATAGAGAAAGGGGAGGATGGATTGAGTGTTTCCTGCAGTCCTATATCATTTTCAATTATTTAATTCCATATTTTGTCTAAAAAATAAAAAGTAAAAAAAAATATAATGGTCATTTTCCGTGTAATGGAGCCATTAAGGTGTATTAATAATGCAGAATGGGTAAGTAGCTGCTGCTCATCCCCTTGAGGAAAAAGGGTGGAGGGATTGAACGTAAAACAGATGTGCATTAAATCATCCTCGATCTGATGGCTGACAGGGTTCATGGGAGCGGTCCTTGTAAGTTCCCCCGATTTGTTTTCTGCGCTAGACTGTTTTTATGCTACAAGTACCTCAACGTCTTCTCTAAGGCTGTTGCCAGCCATAGTGGACAACAAATATGGCCCTATCTAACTAGTTCTGTGCTAGTGGAGACAAACGTATTCCTCGTCAGCAATGAAGAGGTTAAATGCTAACTTGATTCTTAATTAGCGCCTAGTATAGTTGATCATCATACTTGAAGTATTCATTTTACATTGTGATAGTCATGGGCACGGTAAGAATTTCCATCATTATTCTCATTTTTGTATACATCTGGAGGAAAATGTATGCACAATATAAATATGGCATGTGAACAAGTGTCGGTGCTGAGCGTTTGATTCTGCCTTCCGTTTTTAACATTTTTCAATATCGCTTCCAGTTTATGATTTAAATATATATATTTTTTTCTCTAGTCAAACTGCAGGTGCTGTTAGGTACTCTTTTCAGTGTAGAGAATCGGGTGCAAAAAATTGGACCCTCCCAGATCTTTGAATGAGAAAATAAAATAATGAATCCAAAACTCATCTGAAAAAGATTTTTAATATAATTTGTTTTAGATTGTTTATTTTTCTCATACAATTATGAGGTGTTGTATAAGGGTATATACATGCTTTGATGGAATAGTAGTTAATCAGTCGATCCATATGTACTTACAAGCTTAACAAAGAAAAAAATGTTAAAATATTCACTTGTATCATTTTTTTTTTTTACTGTGCAGCATTAAGGGAGTTTTTTTTTTTCTGTATCTTGTTGCTTAATTAAACTAATACGCATTTCTCTTTTTCAGTATATAGGGATGCTATTTCCTACATAAGATCAGAAGTAGTTTTGACTAGCATTGTCTGTTGAAGAAAAAGACATTGCTTTGTTTAGATGTGGATACGATGTTAATAAAGTGCAAAACCCACTTCATGGGTTTTGGTTATCTACTAACCTAGCCTGTTAATATTGGCCTGGTCAATGTGTGTCCTGGTTAATTTTTATTTTTAAATTGTTCCACTGCACAGCATCCAAAAATCCTATGAGTGGTTCAATATTTCAGCTTTAAAATTCTGCCTGTGAGTACACTGATATTAATTGTATGACCCCTGTTTAGATATAGTAAAAGGGGATTAAAAACATAATTAACATGCACTTATAAAATCCATTGACACATAGTGGACTTGCCGAAGATTACTTTTGAAAACTGCTATCTTTCTGTATGCATTGAAGCCTGCAACATAGGTTAGAAAATGCATTTGAATAATTCTGTGCATATCTGCTTTTTAATGAGGATCAAATCAATAGCTGGATGTTCCAGTGTAAATTAGAATTTGTACTGGTAATGGTATGTATAAATTAGCTGGACTTTTATAAATAAAGATTAGCCCCTTCACTTGTGGTCTTCACTTAATGAAATATTGATTTATCTCTGCTGCTTTCCTAATTTCTCTTTTTTTTCTTAATGTTTTGTGTGTTGCGTTGAGCTTTGATGGCAGGTTGAACACAAGTAAAGACATGCATAGTATGTAGGATTTGAGGTTTAAATCCCACTTTGGCACATACGCAGTTTGATATAATGTGAAATGTTTTTTGGTGCATACGCACTTTTGTATAACAGAATGCGCACATATCTTACAGTAGGTGTTTGCGTATATCGCTATAGTATATAGCTTTATGTGTTATATTTATAAATATATATAGTATCAATACATTGGATAGTATGTCACAAGTATGACCAAGAGTCAGTCATATTTAACATGCGCTCATAATGTATGCATCTTTCATTATGTAAATGATTTGTGTATATTTCTACGTGTGTATTTACACACATTTGTGTGATACATATACATAAAAAAATTTTTTCTTAAAATTAAGATTTTTTTTTTTGTAATATGCTTGACTAGCATAGTCCTACCATTTAATTCCCACCCAGTAATTTAACATAGAATATTATGGTGTAAAGCACTGGTCACAGTTTATCGTTTTTTGTTTTGTTTTTCTTAACTATATTACACTATCCAATCTTTAAATAACATGGCAGAGAAATTGAACACCCACAAGGACATACATGTCCTGGGTGGTCTTCCTATAGATTACCAGATTACTTTATTATCAGATGCTGGGATGATTTATAGGATAATAACAATAAAATCCAAATGTGATTGGGGAAGAAGGCCTACTACATATATACCCGAGTAGTACCAATAAGTTCAAGATGATGATATAAATATTGGCCACACACTTTATTGCATTTATTTCTAAAATATGAACCATGCTTTAATTGTAATGCCAGCCAAAAATTAAACCATATAAACAGAAAATAACCAACATCTAAAGTCTAATCTGATTTTCAGAGTTGGCCTCTTCAAAACTGTGTTCCAGTCGTGCCCCAAATGATATATTGCCTAAAGGAATTACTATTAAAATGGCAGAGAATGTACCCTAATGGTGTCTTGCCTTCTGCTTTCTGTTAGCCTTAATTTAAAATGCCAAATCCATCTGTATTCAATGATTACAATCCACACATAACAAGGGGCAATTATCATCTTCCAGTTTGTGATGCTAGATCACAATACAACCCATACTACATGCTAAGTGCGATAGGCAACTCCCTACAATTTCTTCTACCCTTATCCACTTCATATATTTTTTAATATGATATACAAACATCAACAGCCATTTTTTTCCAGCCTTTAAACTATCTGACCAAAATAAATCACAGCAAACCAAAGAAATAAATTAAGAAGATAAAGCATTACTAGTAAAATTGAATCATCGTGTCAAAATACCCTAAGCAGAATTTATGTTGGCCTCAAGTAATACATTAAATTGGTCAATTAGCGCTTAAAACCAGTGTTCCATAAAGAGAATAGAACATTTTCCCCTTTCTGTGATTTTCATTGAGAAAGTTGCAAAAAATGCTGAAACAATGTATAAGATGAAGTAAAACTAATAAAAAAATACAGATATAGGAGGAGATTGTCTCAATCAACCAGTGGTTGACAAAGACCTTATAATAAACTCTCTGTCCATCAAAAAAACCTTTTATTCCAAAGTGATGATCAATTCAAGTTAAATGGACACTGTAGGCACCCAGACCACTTCAGCTAATTGAATCAGGTGCAGCAACAACATAAATTACATTAGAGGGACCCAAACATCTCATTGAAGTAGTGTGGATAAAATGCCCCTATCCCCCTTAGCCCTGCAATGTAAAACATGTTTACATTGCAGGGCTAAGACATCTTCTATGGGCAGTCTGGAAGGTGCTGTGTGGTTTCTCACCTAGTTTAACTTTACATGAGGATGTTCAGCGTCTTCAAAATCCCCTAGGAAAGCTTGAGTGCACCGAGCTCCCTGTGCATGCGCATTCGATTCCTCTATTTTTTTATTTCTAACTCTATAATATTTATATAAATCTGCCTCATCAAAGGGACAGAAATAATCTAGATTATAAAGGTGGCTGTGAGTTCATAGCAACATCCATAAACTTTCAAACTCTTCTACTTGTAGGAGCATTGTAAGACGCATAACTACTGTAGCAGATTTTAGTGGTTATAGTGATTACAGTGATTCTTTAAAGGGGAACTGGTCGTCTATGGAAATTATGCCATTAAATAAAACATTGAAAATCATCTGTAACGTAAGTTTTTTTTTTCTGCAGAGCTATTTTTTTTTCTTCTTCTTTTTTTTTTGCTCTCAGTTGAAACAAAAATGATATTATTTTGCAATTTTGAGTGCATTTCTTCTCTTCAGTGTTAAAGGACCACTATAGTGCCAGGAAAACAAACTTGTTTTCCTGGCACTATAGGGTCTTTAGATCCCCCCAACCCCCAGGGTCCCACTCCTGCTGGGCTGAAGGGGTTAAACAGTGAGAAGCATGGAAGCACCACTAGTGGCTGCAGGTGAGACAGCCACTAGAGGCTGGATTAACCCTAGTGTAAACATAGCAGTTTCTCTGAAACAGTTATGTTTACAGCTGCAGGGTTAACACTAGATGGACCTGGCACCCAGACCACTTCATTGAGCTGAAGTGGTCTGGGTGCCTATAGTGATCCTTTAAGTCAACCCTATACCCTTATTACTATAGACCCCCATTGTATATAAAATCACACTAGATGGACCTGGCACCCAGACCACTTCATTGAGCTGAAGTGGTCTGGGTGCCTATAGGGATCCTTTAAGTCAACCCTATACCCTTATTACTATAGACCCCCATTGTATATAAAATCACACACCAACGTATGCTCACTTTCACACCCGTTTCACACTTTCATGGCCAGTTACATATGTCTTTTACATGTAAAAGATTAAAATATATTATGAAAAACACTTGAACAAACATGCAAGTTCAATTTGTGTTGTAAATATTGACTTCTCCTGCATATTTGCATAATGTACCATATAAATTATATAACATGTAATGCATTATGGTGACCCCAGGAATAAGTAGGAATTCTAATGAAATACATGGACAATTTATTTTGCTGGCATAATATT